GCGCCCACCGGTGCCTGGTGCCTGCGTCTGGGCTGTGCTGCTCTGTGTGGTGCGTCCCACAGTCCGGAGCCTCCTCAGCCTCGCACGGCTCAGCCACGCGGGTCTGACTGCCGCTGCGTGGGGCTCACCGGGCAGGGGTGCGACGGTCGGTGTTGCAGCAGACACCCCGTTTTTAATTCCCTGTGGGACGTTCAGGCCTGGTCAGCACTGAAGATGAGGGGTGAATCTTTCCCACAGAAATAATCAGAACTGGACACGGGGCAGCTGGACCCTGGGAGGAAATCGTCACCGGGCTGCGATCCTTGAGGAAAGCAGCTCCACCCTCGTCACCGCGGTTTCTGGGGACGCCGCAAGTCGTGGCACACGAAGCGGGAAGTCGCCCTGCTGGCTGGGGTGCTGCAGTGTGCAGGGTGGGGGAGCGGGTGGGCAAGCCTGCCCAGGGAGTGCCCGCGTGGACAGAGCTGCTCCTGAGCCTCGGCCAGCGGGAAGACGCCCCTCGCCTGGCAGAGGACAGCGACGGTGGCCGGGGAGGCAAGCGGGTTTGAAAGCCACCGAGTGCCACCAAGCCCCGGGGCTGACCAGTGCGCCCTCACGGTCATTTGGGGGAGGCCCCACCCAGGACAGGCCCCTCGGCTCTGCTCAGGCTAAGGACGTCTTCCCGCCTGAAGCCCGTTAACAGGACACGGAAGGGTGAAAGCCGCCCCAAGTGGGCCCCTTTCCAGAACAGCCACAGCCACACAGACCCCATCCAGCAGTCTGGGGGCTGTGGGGGGCGGGGGGAGTCTCATGGCAAGTTCCAGTCCAGGAGAAGGTTCTGGAGCTGGGTGGTGGGGAGGGCGCACTGCAGCACCCGACTAGACACTTCAAGTAGTCACCGTGGCACGTTGTGTTACAGTGTTGTGCTGCAGTAAAGCGGCCCCCTAAGATGTCTGCTGCTTCCAGGGTTCACGGGGCAAGGTGGGCCCCCCTGCGTGGATGCGTAGACGCCAGGGCGCAACAGCGACGGGGACATGCGCCGGCCACACGGGACCTGACCCTCAGCCAGAGGCCTGCACTGACCCAGCCTGGGGGAGGCAACTGGGAACCCCGCAGCCCGCCTGGAAGGACTGGGCTCCCAGCGCAGGGAGCCCCGAGCTGCAGACGGGGCTTCCCTCAGGCCCCATCAAGACTGACGGTCAGGAGTGGTGAGGACAGAGAAGCCAGTGGTCAGGGCACCCCCAGGCCCTTGCTCCCCACAGGTCTGATGGTGACAGGAAGGGCGGCAGCCAGGCTGGGCAAAGCTCACACCCCACAGGGTGGGCGGAGGGGACCGACAGCTCCCCAGGGACTCCAAGGGGGGGGGGTGTCTCTGCCCCAGGAAGGAGAATGCAAAAGCCCCAACAGTGCTCCCTGCGCTCACCAGGGGAAGTGGAAATAAACGGCCACACAGAAGGCTGCCTCCAGGCTCCCCACCCGGGCCAGCTCCCTCAGGCCTGCTCCCACCTGCCATGCTGACCCCCCCAGCCCCCCCCCGCAGCCCCTCCCAGGGCTCTGCAGGCCTGCACCCCAGCCCCACAGGCCTGCTCCCTTCCTGTGGGGCCCGATCGGCCCCAGGCGACACTGCAGGGACACCCATCTCCCCGCAGGAAGGCAGAGGCTTGAGGTTGGGCCTTCACCGCTTCACCCCCAGAATAGCACCTGCTCTGGTCCTTTCAGTCAAGCCTGGGTGGCGCTGAAGGACGCAGGCGCCAGGGAGGCCCTAGACGTCAGCCGCCCAGAAGTGACCCGGCCCCAGGAGCAGGCCCCAGTGGGGGCAGGAGGAAGAGAGGAGGCAGCCCTGCCCAGCACGGCCCAGAGGGCTGAAGGCCCCTCACCGGGAAGGGGAACAGGCCCGGCCGCAGCTCTCCGAGGTCTGGCAGTTTAAAACTGGAAGCCAAAGTCATGTGGCCGTAAGTGGCCAGGCCAGAGGCTGGAGCCTGGCTGGCTGGCCGGCCGGCGCCTGGAGGCAGCGTCCATCTAGTCAATTGCTTTCTGTTTTTGGAGCCGCTGGCTGGCCCACCCGGCTGGAATGAGGCGGCACTTCAGGACACAGCTCTTGGAGCGGGTGGCAGGGTTCTTGGAACTGGGAGCAGGGAGATCTAAATTAAGACCTTTCTATCACACCGAATAAATAGCATTGAAGTAGAGGGCTGCAGGGATCAGGCAATAGGCCTTTCCACATAACTGGAAAAAGAGGGGACCCTCCAGAACAGAATGGCGTCTCTGCCCCGCGGCTCCAGTTATTTGCTGGGAACAAGGCACCTCTGTGGGACACAAAAGCCCTGTTCGACGCGCAGACTCTCGCTCTGCTGTCTGGTCCCCGACGCCCACCGCTCTGCTGAGGCCCTCAGGCCTGACCAGGGCTGGCCCCTCCAGCCCTGCCATCCCTCAGGGAGGCAACATGTGCTGCGTCCACTTGGAGTCACCCACCCTCAGGGCAACCTCTCGACACCCCCAGAAACACCTGCTTCGGCTTTACCCCACCCTCCCGAGGCAGGGCCTTGCTGGGGGGTGGGGGGTGGTAGGAAGGCCTGTCCTTGGTTTTGGCAGAGAAGGGCCCTGTGGGGGGCAAAGTGGAGCTGACTCTGGGCTGCCCTGGCCAGCAGGCCAGGCCCGGTGCCCAGTGATGTCTCCTTCCGGGGCGGCAGGAGGGGGATCCCTGGCTGAAGCTGGAAGTCACCCCAGCAGCAAGTTCAAGGCGGAACAAAGCAGAGGGATGGATGGGCTCATTCAGCAGAATCCAGCTGAGGGGTGGTGGTGGTGGGGGGGTATCAGGTGCCCCCATCGGCCTTTCAAATGCAAAGTCACTTGGGGGGGCGGGAGGAGGGTAAGGAGGCAGCTCCAGTGGCTCAGACCAGCTGCTCCTACAAACAAAACTCCAGGCTCCACAGATCCTTGGCGGTACAGCCCCAGCTTCTGTGGCGTCAACCCTCCCACCGCTGGCAAACCCAAGCCGCCAAGGAGAGCGGCAGAGTTGGGGCGGGGCGGGGCGCACTGAACTCCCCCCCAGCCCTCAGAGCCGCTGACAGGGGCCGGGGCGGGCTCAGGAAGGCGCTGCCTCTGCTTTTGTCATCATTTAAGTTTATGTAACTCCACGTAACGGCAGTCATATTAGACAAAGCCAGATTGGAATATTTCTGAGGTCAGCAATTTCGTAGATTAAGAAAAAGATCTGGGCCTCCCTGGTGGCACGAGGGGTGAGAACAGCACTACGGAGCAGGCTCCGCAGCCAGGGAGGGACCCCAGGGCCGCAGACCTCCCCTGTCTCCTGCTGCTCCCCCCCCCCCAGTGCCTTTCAGTGAATCCGCCCATTTTGCTCCCCACTCTGTCTCTGGTGAATCCTCTCATTCCTCCTCCCACCCCCCATCTCTGGCCTGTACCCCAGTCTTGTATGCATGAATAACAAAGAAAGAAAATGATCCGAACTCTTAGGAACCGCTGCTTTAAGTTACCTAGTACCGTGCCGCAAGCACTGCCAGGTAAGAGGCGAGCTGCTCCACGCGCTACTGTCTGCTCAGCGCTCGGCAGCTTGGAAGCCCGTCTGAAAGGGAGACACACTGGTAAGCCCCAGTGCTCTGTGAGTCCACGGTGCCTCAAAAATAAATACATTCTGAGGAAGACAGTTTGATTAACATTTTTACATATAACCACGTGAAAATTTTTTTACTTTATCTTAAAACTGAGTTAGCCCTGTGTATAAACTTCCCACTCACTCACACATTTCAGCAACCAAGCCTGCGGCCGGCGGTCAGCAGCCCTGCTGGGCACAAAGGCCCCAGGGCCCAGCACAGCGCCACGAGCGCCCTGGCCTGCCCCACGGGCGCGTCAGTGGGGTCATTCAGGACGGAGCGTACATAAGCCGCCGCTGAACGTGCAAGCAGACGGCACATTTTAGTGACCCGAGTAAATGCACCAACACGCAGAAACGGCTGTGATCACTTTAGATGCTCTTTATTTTGAACTCACTGGACATGGGTGAGGCAGGTTCACAAGTTACGTACACATCGGTTCTCTCACTTTGCAGCTGCTGCTTTTCCTTGGTGCCTACTGCCGGGGACGGGCCCCTCAGTCTTAACACCCACAGTTCTCAGTTGCTAGGGACACACAGACAAGACGGCAGGAACCCGTCTAGAGATTCGCTTCAAAATGTGGTGGGCGCGTCGGCAGACAAAGTCACGAGGACATCACAACTCACGGTGCGCCGAGGGAGAGGAAGGGACCGATCAGCTCCTGAGCTTGGGACACTGAGGTACAGACAAACACGCTAAAAAGAAAGTTTTGCTTCTTTCCGTTTGAGAGAAATGGAATGTGTGCAGAATTCACGCTCTACACGTACTACTGACTGTAAGTCACTTGAGAGGGACACCTAATTTTTGAGTTTCTGATGCAGTCACAGATCACAGCAGCACACATCACTGCACACAAACGCGAGACGCAGAATGGCCGTGACAGGGACACCCAGCACGTCTGACACCGCCCTCCACCTGGGGGTGCACAGGCAGGCAGTGAGGGCGCTGCCCCCAGTGCCAGTGTGTGCTAGCGCCGAATGCAGGAAGGAGAACGCCAGGAGGGAGCACAGTCGTCGAGTCAGTGCTAAATGTGAGGGTGGCGTGATGAAAACACAGCTTTGATTTTAGAGGCGAGAGTCTTGGTTGAGACAAAATGTTTTCTATCAATTTTCAAAAATCAGATCACCTCTGTCAAGGATGAAAAATAAACACTTTACTAACTTACTGGGTGGGCAGAACCCAAAATAATTAAATGAAGACTCAAAATCATGTGGTACTTCATGAAGAGGATTTCAATCTTTTGTCCTAAGTCAGCCAATATTTTAATGTTAGATAATTAGAATGTGGTTTGTTTAAGCCAGTTTTTAAAATTCAAGATCTTTAAGGAAAAACAGAGGTACATTTTCGGGAATACTGACTCCTAATGAAATTTTAATTTGGGGCACCTGAAGAACAGGTCAAGTGCTGCTCTGCGGCTCTCGGAGACGATGCCACCCCGGCGGGCACCTCTGGGCGAGCTCCACGCTGTGTGCACGTGGCTACACATCACTCACTTCCTGACCGCCATCTGCTGTGATCGGAGTGTTTGCTCAGTGGGGCAATCACTTCCTGCCAATTACCTTAAACGTTTCCAATTATTAGCACTGTGACAGTGCTAAGAAACTTAAATGTCTTTATTTTATACCAAAGGTAGAATGTTGTTATTTTTCAACTCAACACACCAGTAAGTCATTTCTCGGTGAGGTGTGACTACCTAGAGCAGCAGAAGGCCGTCCTGGTCTCCACAGGCCTGCCGCTCCTGGCGGTGTAGGTCACTCTTCTGACAGACCACGGCGCGGGCAGGACGGGCATGTGCTCTGCTCTTTAAGCCACTGCTTGCAGCACTGAGGAGGAGGAAAGGAAGTCAGTTGTGCCTTTTGGAGCACACAGCTCAGCTACTCTGCTCTGCACCTTGGCAGACCTGGTTAAGGTCTGAAGACCTGGGCCCTGACCTCTGCTGCCTACTCCCAGCCCTGCCATGCCAGCTCCAGTCTTGGTGCCCTGCTCTAGAGGTTCGAATTTTCTTGGCCCTCGGACTCCCTCACCACGTCCCAACTTTTCACTCCTCTGCCTGGTCTCAGACCCATGTCCCACACAGCTGTCCACTGCCATTAAAGAACAGGGGTGTGTCTGAGAGCCCAGGGGTGACAGCCCTACACCTGAAGAGTGCTAGCTAGCCCTGCCAAAGAGACCGAGCGTGGTCTGCACCCCTCCTCACGGTGTACGGCAGTGTCCCTCTGCCTGAGGAGCAGTGAGCTGACACTGCACAGGTCCGGGCTGCTCTCAGCTCAGCACGCCACCTACCCCAACGTTGCACACACGTCTTGGGTGGGTACGAGCCTGGAGTTCCCAGGTCTGGCCAGCAGACCAGGCGGGCCTGGGTTTTCCTGCTTCCTAAAAGGTGTCAGACTCAGAAAGGCCCGGCGGTTTACCTGCTGGCCATGCGTGTAAGAAGCCACCTTCCCTTCCAAGAACAACTACAGCTTTGAGTTTCGGCACCAACAGAGTCGATGAGGCCCAGCGCCCTCCCCACCGACCCCAGCCTGCGGGAGAGGGGCGGCCACAGACGCAGCCCGGCGGTCCTCCCCCCGTACCCCTTTAGAAAAGGGGACAATGACTACTGACACAAGGAGGTTTACAAAGGTTAACAGTTTGAAAACAAAACATGAAACGTACTGAAGTCGCCTTCTTGTTATTTTTAAAATCCTCCACAGCCACAGTGCCCGCCCCCAGGGAGGCTGGAGGTCCTTACCCCCTTGTGAAACCTGTGTCCGCATTTTAGCACTCGCATGTTTTTGGACTTGAACGCCTCGTGGCACACCTCACAGGAACCTGCGCCCGAGATCTGTGGGAAGAATGTCCGAATAATGGAGAATAACTTAGTTTCTTTTTACTGGAATTTCTTTACAGTTGGACTCTCCCTCCTTATCAGTGACCTGCAAACATGTTCGCCACTACGGTGGCACATTGTTCCCAATGACAGCAAATCAGGCAGGGAAACTTATTTTCTAATAGCATTTCTTTTCTTTTCTTTTCTTTTTTTTTTTTAAGATTTATTTATTCATACAGAACTGGGGTACAGACCAGAAGCACAGGGGGTGAGAGGACTCATCAGAGACAGAGCGGGGAGCAGAACAGGCAGATCGATGAAGGGGAACAGTGGGCGGGTCAGGAGAGGTCTGCGCGCCCTGTGGGTCACCTCTGAGGCTGGGGATGGAACTTGCACTGAAGCAGCTGCGGCCTAATTACAGTGCTGCGCTTTAACCAGCTGCGCCGCCAGCGAGGCCCTCTATCATCAGCATTTCTTAAGGGGGAAAAAAAAACCAAAAAGAAAGATATAATGTTGAAGGTGTAATTTTTTCAGAGAGAAGTATCTTATGATTAACAGATGCCCAAATAAAGCACCACAGATGGCTACTACCCAACCCCGCGCTCAGAGTGCCGTAGACGCTGAGTGTTGCAAGTGAGGCCTTGCCCCAGCGCCCAAACACTAGGGTAGAAAAGGGGATTAAGATGCAGCCACCCGTGGGCTAACGCGGCTGCTGCCCTCGAACAGAAGAGCAGCCCTGCCAGAGGAGGCCGAACAGCCCCAATGCGCGCAGTGGGTACCGCAGTGGGGGGTCGCCGTGTCCCACAAGCGAGTCTCAGCCGAGAGTGTGTTACACAGCTTCCAGGAGCGGGCCCGGAGGAGGGCTGTGAACAGTGGCACTTCTGGATAGGAAGATTTGACTTTTTCCTTTCCACATGTCTATGAACGTGGATTACTTGTGCAGATCAAAACAAACCAAACTGATGGCTCACTCCGCAAGCACCCCAGGGGTGTGCAGATGCTGGGAGCAGGGGCCACGGGGGGGGTCCGGCTCCAGTGGCTCACTCTGGCGAGCGCAGGAGGCTGTTCCCAAGTGAAGACAGCCTGAGGGCTTTCCTCTCACCAGACACCAAGTTCTCTCCTCACTGCCCTCAGCACTTGCCCCACCCTGATCTTGACTGCACTGCCCTCTGGCTTCTGGACACCCGGGCAGCTGGCAAGCTGCCCCATCAGCTGTCGGGCAGGGGAACAGGTGAACGAACGCAGCCCCTAGCGCCAGGGTGAGGCCAGGGATGGAGCCGGCGGCAGCGCCTCGCCCTAGGCACAGTGGGGCGCAGCAGAGGGTGCAGGGGGATGTGGCACAATGGGGTGGTCTCCCTCAACGGACGCCCTGCTGGAAGGGCAAGGCGGGAATGGAGGCTCGTCAGGGAGGCTGCCGGAACCCTGCCTGGCTAGAGACCTCTGAGCAGTGAGCAGGAGGGCTGTACAGGAGTGACCTGCGTGCTCACCAGGTGAGGCTGAGACCCTCTGGGAGATGGCACTCATGGGGTGCGTGGGTGGGAAATCTCCAAAGGACAGTGGGAAGTGAAAACGTAGAGAAGTTATAAAAACCTATGTCCACAAAGATTCACTCTAAGTTGTCAAAGTAGTGCTCTGAACCATTTGCTTTTCTGACTCCACGGCGGAGGGCGCTGTGGCCTGCAGCTCTGACTCTGATGACAGCTGGGTATGGCAAAGACGTGCTCAGTGCAGATTCCACCCCAGCCAGGCCGAGACGCACAGGCGACACGCACTGCGTCCCCAGCATCAGGCACGCGCCAGGTGAGGACAGGGACTAGAAGCAGCCCTGCAAGAGGATGAGGGGCTTTGGCTTCCTCATTTAGAAATCCCAGGTCAGGCCAATGGTTTACCGCTGAGATCAGACAGGACAGCTCACGAACAATGCTAGGCAGAAGTAACATTCTCACTGCCTATGGTGAAACGAGACAGCTCCACAGTCTGCCAGGTGGAGGGTGTCTAACCAGTTCTGGGTTGGGGGAGGGGGGGGAGAGAATCAGCCTCTCTGGAGTGCCGTGCTCAACCCTAGAGCCCTATGCAGCCCCTCACCAGACACCCCGAAAACAGGGCGTGGACAAGCTCACGTTCCCAGTCTGTCACTCCAAAGCCTCGGGTCATAGAGAAGAAAATTACCCAACAGCATTTTCCCCAACTAGTCACACCTACATGGGCTACAGTGATGCAACACACAAGCACTTCTATATTGCTTCTAATTTTAAGTAAGCTGGATCTAGAAATGAAGAGAATGGGCCTGAATCGTGAATTAACACGTCTGTCTCCTCCTTCATTAAAAACTAAGAGGACAGGGACCTCCCTGGTGGCGCAGCGGGTTAGAGCACAGCACTGAGAAGCTAAAGCCACTTTAGCATGAGTTCAGTCCCCGGCCCCGGAGGTGACCACAGGGCGCGGCAGACCTCTCCTGACCCCCTGCTGCTCCCCTCAGCAGTGGACTTCATCTGTCGTCCTGTTCTGCTCCCCACTCTGTCTCTGGTGAATCCTCTCACCACCCCGGCACCTCTGGGCTGTACCCCCGTTCCATGTGCATAAATAAATAAATCCTTAAAGAAAAAAAAGAGGACCGTGCGGGGGCACGTGTGGCACTCGCGGGGACAGCCTCCGTGCTCGGCCCCTTGGGTCGGGGTGCTGCTCCAACAGCCTCACTCGGGGCTGGGCGGTGCCTCCGTCACAGAGGCGGCCGAACGCTGCGCAGAGGACGGCGCGTCCTCACCTGGGCTTGGCTGCAGAGACAGCACCGGTGGGAATAAGCTGCCAGACAGAAGCTCCGGCATCTTCTCATTCGTACGCTGCTCTCCACTTTCGGGTGAAGCCCTTTTTACAGACTGCTATTTATAAACAAGGGTAAGTGGGACATTTCATTGTCTCTGAATGAAATACTGACCTTCCTTTTTTCTTCATCTGAAACATGTTCTGTCACCCTTTGGACAATTTCATCGATGCTCAGTCCTGACAGGGAGTTCTTGTTTTTGTTACGCACTTTTTTAATAAAACCAGCAAGCTCAGAGCTGCAAAGGAAAGTGAGAATGAACGATAAAATTTAATTTTTCTAATGCTAAGAAACAGTATGTGCCAATACTAACCTGTTCACTGTAAGAATCAAAACCAACACACACACACAAATAATTTTAAGTAAAAATAGTAACTATATACAAAAAGTAGCAGACACTCCAGACAGCTTCGACATTCTCGTATTATTTCCAAATACTTATTTTCATAGAC